GAGAGAGAGAGAGAGAGAGAGAGAGAGAGAGAGAGAGAGAGAGAGAGAGAGAGAGAGAGAGAGAGAGAGAGATGGTGCTTGGCAGTGCGTGAGAATGATGTCTCGATTGAAGACAGTTGTTACGATCCTGGTCATTCCCAAAGTGCAAATTCACCATGAAAGACAATGCCACCCAAATGCGAAAGAAATGAAAGCACTTGCAAAGAGGTAGAGACCAAAGAAGAAGAAGAAGAAGAAGAAGAAGAAGAAGAAGAAGAAGACGTACACCAGCAAGACCAATGACAAATCCCCTTCTCTCTCTTCCTTCCTTCTCCTCCTTCACTTCGCCAATCTTATTCTTCTTCCAATAATAATAATAACAATGAGTGGATGAACCAGAATCAATGTCCGAAGTTCCCTCTTACTGCTGACATCACAATAGGTCCACCATAGCTCTGGCTTCCCCCCTTCTTCCACCTCTCACATGCCTAGGCTATGGCAGACTACTGAGGGCTCTGCCCTCCTGTGCAAACGACAACGCAAAGCAGCTATGTCGCTGCACTCCTGTCCGAAGGACAACCCAAAGCAGCTATGCTGCTGCTGACTAAGCCGCCATGCCTGACTCTGCCTCGAGCTTCCTTGCTGCGGCACTACCCCAACTGGGGCCTTCCAGATGCTGCGCCCAACAAGGTGATGAAGATTGTGTCCACCATAGCCAGGGAGGTACCTTGCCACTCTCCTCCTTCGGGGCTGCTCACCATAGCCAGGCTGAGCGCCCAGCTGCTCGTCACCTCCAGGCAGTGCTGCCCAAGTCCAGCGCTTGGCTCCAGCAGCGTGTCGCCAATCCTTGCATACCGTAAAGCTCCTCCGAAAGATATAGCGGCCTACTGGCCTCTTGGGCGGTGACTTCCTAGGCCGAGCGGCCTCCCAGCAACCGGTACCTCCTCCCTTTCGGAGGGAAACATCATTGCAGGCTCTNGTGACTTCCTAGGCCGAGCGGCCTCCCAGCAACCGGTACCTCCTCCCTTTCGGAGGGAAACATCATTGCAGGCTCTGCTATCGTCTGGACAGGCCTTAGACTCGGGCTACTTGGACTGGTACCGGCCTACCTCTAACCTACCGCTACTGGGCCTCTAAAAATGCCAACTTTTTGTCTTCTTCTGCTCAGCCTCCAGTACCCGACACTTCCACCACTACTTGAGTGGTACCGGCCTACCTGCTACTTGAGTGTTTTTCCCGCTGCTCTAAGTGTCGCGGGCCTACCCCTGCTACTTGAGTGTTTTCCCCGCTGCAACCCTCAAAGTCACGGCCACAGTTAAGCACCGGCCCTGCGGGGCCTTTCAACCAACAAGTACCCTTGCGGGTCACACACACACTCAGCCGACAAGCACTCAGACAGGCACGCAACCCAGCAGGCACGCACACACATACAGACTTGGAAACCACAGCAGAATGCGGGAATATCAGCAAGGCATTCATTCCAGCGGCAAATCCCAGAAATCAGCAGTGTTCTCGGTCTGTGTTTTGGCGGGTCATTACACTACCCCCCTCTCAAGAGCGAGGTCCCTTCGAGCGAGTAACTCATTCAGAGTCGGCACAAAATGCGTTGTAGGCGTAGATCAGAGAGAGAGATTTAGTATAACTGTGAGGAGTGAGTTTTGCAGAAAATTTAGCAGTCTGTCCATCAATGATCTGTCGTTCATAAGCGTTGACAACACGGGGAGCATTCTTTAGCAGCTCTTTTCGGTCGATCCAGTAGAACTCGTTTAACAGGTGTACTGTTTGTTCCTCCCTGTTCCTTCATGGGAAACAATTATGTCTATCTCATGGCTGCCGTTGATAGGACGATCTATCATAGGATCTCGGAAGGGAAAAGTCTCATCATCGATGTGTGGAAACAGTTTGGACGCGTGAAAGACCGGATATGTGCGCAGATGAGGAGGCACATCAATCACATACGATGGACCAAAATCATCCCCAACCACCTTTAGAACCTGCCAAGGGCCATAGTACAATGGAAGAAGCTTTCGTGATACGCCCTCTTCGTTAGAAAACTCATACATTTTGACCCAGATATAAGTTCCTACTTCGCAGTTCCTTTCTTTGCGCGACTTGTTAGCATGTTTGACCATGGCATGCTGACGCTTGTTCATCGCTGCGATAGCAGCTTTGAGCAAGCGTGCATACTTGGGCATTGTAGCCAGGCATGCCGGGTGTCAGACCAAGGGACCATTCGGGGAACAGAGAGGACAGAGAATTGTGCAGCTGCCAACGATATTGCAACTGATTTGGTGTCACGCCAGTTGCATAGTGAATGGAGTTGTTGTACAACCCCTTCACTTTGTGTAACTCCTTGTCCCACGTGTTCTGATCTGGAACAATTAACGCGTGAAGTAGTTGGATGACAGTTTCGTTGATTTCCTCAGCCAATCCATTGGCTTCGGGGTGTCGACCAGAAGTCTTGTTGAGTTTAATATCGTAGATCTGAGAAGTTTTTTTTTTTTTTTTTTTAAACACCCCCTCCACTGTTAGTGATGCTGGTATAAGCAGCCACCACTAACACCTGGGGAGAGGCTCCATCTATTGGTGGGTAGCGACACCTGCTGGAAAACGGGTCCAGCGTCCCATAGACAATTGTTGTGGAGTGTATCATGAGTGTATCTGGAACTGCCTGTGGGATGTACCTGCCAGCATTGATTACTCTGACGTTCAGAGGATTGACTGAGCAGGATATTTGGCAAGGGAGAGAACCTCTTCACCTTGTACCAGGCGCCTGATGTCAACTGCTACAAAATAGTTCCTCCCTCCCCACTCCAGACTCTTTCTCATTGCTTCCAGCATCCCATTACAGCAAAGTTTACAGAATGAATGTAGACTGACACTTATCTTACCCCCTACCAGTATGCCGCCAGCACTTATCTTACCCTCTACCAGCGTACCACCACCTTATAGATGCCTGAAAGTAGCATGTCGCCAGCACTCACCTAACCCTCTACCAGCATACCACCTTCTTACAGATGCCCAAACCATTGTCTTTCTACAATTGTTGTGGCTGGCGGAGGGAACATGTCTAGGAACTGCTCAAGGCTCTTCATAGGGGTGTTGGGGTTTGAGAAGTGAAGTCCTTCCAATCAGCACTAATGAACCTGGTGTCCCGATCACTCACAAGAGTTTTCGGGGGTCCATACTGCAGAATGTACTGCTGGTGAAATTCTTCGATCACAAGCTCGGTTGGTGCATGAGGAGGTAGAGGAATCAAATTCAGAAATTTGGAAAAACGATCCACGATGACCATGACTTGTGAATGTCCTCTCTCACTTACCTTCCCCATGTCCGTGAAATCGATAGAGACCGACTCACCGGGTCCATCAGGAATGGGGAGGGGTTTCAGCAGATCATAAGGCTTATGCCTATGAACCTTGGTTCTTTGCCAGACTTGACATTCAACAATAAATTTCTGAGCAGATCCCTTAATTCCCGGCCAATCAAACTATTGCAAAAGACTTCCATAAGTCTTCTCAAAGCCGAAGTGTCCACTCCGACCATGTGCCAAATCCAAGAAATGAGTCCGGAGAGGCGCATGGTTGGGTACACACAAACGATCAAACTTTTCATACCGAAGGAATACAAGACCCTCGCACTCATGAAAATCAGGTTGACTGCTAAGGTCATCCTTGAGCTGCTCAAGGATGGGACTAAGGTCCGGATCCTTGGCAGTGTGTTCGACCAGATCCTCCTTCAGTTTCCTTCGGAGGTCATATGAACTCACAAGGCAAGTCAAAAACTCAGGATGGCGCGACAAAGCATTAGCAACACGATTATAACAACCTTTCTTGTGTTTCAGTTCAAAATTGTAAACATCAATGTTATGCAACCAGCGGGTCAGCGTCGGAGAGAGATCAGTTTGCGTTTTAATCCACTACAAGGTCTGATGATCTGAGTAGACCTTGAAGTGGCGACCCAAGAGGTAGTGCTTCTAATGTGTGAGCACTTCTTGCATGGCATATAACTCATGCATATACGTGGAGGTAGCTACCTTGTGGTTGGGCATGCGTTTGCTGTAATACTCGAGCGGGCGCAGGCCATCGCCATCATCTTGTTGCAGCACTGCACCAATCCCATACTGGCTCGCGTCCGTAGTAACTACAAACGTGAGGTTGGGATCCCCAATGCAGAGCACAAGGTGACTTACCAAAGCCTCTTTCAAGGCTTGGAACGTAGTCTCGTATTTCTCACACCACGCATAAGCAACATTTTTGCTTGTTAGTCTCGAGAGTGGGTGAGCAATGACAGAAACTTTGGGCACAAACTTTCGGTAATACGAAGTCAAACCAAGAAAAGAATGCAATTCGCGTACGTTCGCCGGTTGAGGTCACTTTCATATGACCTCAACCTTGGTTGCCTCTGGCTCAAGGCCGTTTGCAGACAACCGATGCCCGAGATAGATGATGTCGTCCCTTCCGAACTCAGATTTCTCTAAGTTGAGGTGCAGTTGTGCCTCCTTGAGGACTTGCAAAACCTCCTCAAGGTGCTTGACGTGCTTTTTTTTTTTTTTTTTTTTTAACAAAACGTGCTCCATCTATTGGTGGGGAGCAGCACCTGCTGAAAACCGGGTCCAACGTCGGGCCCAGTGTCCCATGACGAGTACGTTCATAAAAATCATCAAGAAGGTGCTCTTCCATGGACTTGCTGAAAATCAAGATGTCGTCAAGGTAAACAACAACAAACCTATTGAGCTGATGCCGGAGAACCTTGTCCATGAGGCACTGAAATGTGGCTGGTGCATTCGTAAAATTGAAGGGCATAACGATGAATTCGTACAGCCCATCACATGTTT